GTAACAAAACTAGATTACAAAACCATCATACAATCAGAATTATCGCATTAAAATTTATATTAGCTTCAGTTTATATATTTTAAAGTATTCTATTTCCAAAGATGGAAAATTCCGGTTGTGGGCCAAGTATCAGTTCACACCCTGCTGCATCAACAGTGATTCCTTTGCCACCTATGCCTAGAAACTTACTGATCGGGATTTTCCATTCTCTTGCATCTGGGAATAATTCCACTGTATTTGCATCATCATCTTTGGATGCTTCATCTTCATAAGTTGCATTGAAATAATGGTGCCCAAATTGCCAGTTTGTACCTGGACCTTCTTGCACTTGATATGAATCTGACTCTTTGTCTTCAAGACTTACATGAGCTTCAGAATTTTCATCTTGAGAACTCTGATGGAAGTGTGCTCTCTTTTCGAATCTGGTATCAGTACTTGTGGATGGTGTGTTTTCATGTAGAGGCAGTAAATTGGGTGTCCCACAAATTAGGGAATCATGTTTACTAGTACAAGTGACATGATCATTGAAGCAAGTCTTTTCCTCCAAAGATCTAATTTTTTTTAATAGTATCTGTATCCTTTCTTGTAAAAGAGTGCAATTTTGGCAATTATGATATTTCAAGGCACAATCTAGGACATTATTTGATAAAACTATGTCCTGTCCTATTGATTCACTTGTCATCAAGGGAATATCTTTGGTGATGCACTGTTCTTGACTTTTGCTAAGCTTCATGAGATCAGTTCCTCCTTCCTGGAAAGTGTTGTAGGGCCCTTCAGTATCTAACAAATATGAATCAGGAATTTCATCATCACATGCTGGAATGTCAAAGGAGACCTGTGTTTCAGCAGGTTGGGGAATCTTGGTCTTTCTTTGACTGACTGTCTTGTATGCTTGTTGGTTAGCTTCCCTGGGGTGAAAAAAAAGGGAATACATGCTTATTTTCTGATACAGGAAGATCAATAATTTGTAAAAAAAAATTAATAATAATAATAACACAAAAAAAAACAGCAAGCTCAGATGCAAGCAAATTGTAGTGCCATTTTACCTTTGAGTTAGCTATCAATAGGGCCATCGTGAAAGCGGCGTAGATTGGGTGTGCAACATTTAAAATTTGCCAACAAAAGGGAGGGATTTTTGGGTGTGGTGATTAAAATTTGTCATATCTTAAAAGAATAGTGGTAAATTTCTGCTATTTTCTTTTACTGAGTTAGCTATCAACAGGGCCATCGTGAAAGCGGCGTAAAAAGAGTGCAGCATTTAAAATTTGCCAACAAAAGGGAGTGATTTTTAGGTGTAGCAATTAAAAATTAGTTGTATCTTAAAAGAATAGAAGTAAATTTCTGCTATTTTCTTTTACTTCTTGTAACTTGCTTTGCACTTAATTGAATGGAGATTATTCAGATTTCTAGGAATCTGCCGGCAAATACCAATTTTAGCTTTATTTGCTGACAGAAGCGTTTTCAGGGCTGGGTGTCACACCCACCACAACCCCCCTTTGCGACGGCCCTGGTTATCAATCATATATATATACATGCAAAAGTTGGATGAGAATTTGGAACAAACAACAGTAACTGGTAAAAAGTTTTGTAACATGTCAGTGTGAAATAATGGTAGGGTAGTGGAGGGAAAATGACGTCAAAGGAAAGTTGGACTAAAATGATTAGGTGGCATTGCAAGGTTAAGACATTCAGAACAATATTCATATTTCATGGATTGCATAAACATAATAAAATAAAGGGAGTGAAGTATATTTTGAAGACAGACATTTAGAGTTTAACACAAATAAAACGAAACAGAAGCTCCCCCTTAAAGAAAACTTGAATGTGATGAACCACTATATCAGTGACTTGTTAACAAGCTTTTATAACTCGCTCCAGAATTTCTTTACAATTTCATAGTGATAATTCTATTGCTAATAAACTATGTCATAACACTACTCCGTGATGGGAATATACAAAAATGAATTACTTTATTGACTGAAAGTGATTTTCGTATATTTCCTCATATTTGTTTCATAGGGTATATTTATAAATAATCTCTGCATTGCTGTAAAAAAAAAAAAAAAAAAAAAATAATAATAATAATAATAAAAAAACTATAGGCAGCTGGGAAAGATACTAGTACTACTGTTATTATTGTTGTCATTCATACTTATTTGACCTTGCATGACATTTTGTGGTTATATTTGAAACTTTATATGGCTGCTGAATTTATCATAGAAAAGTTAATAGAGTACAAATATACAGTGATGTTGATGCACATGATGACTGTTGATGATGAATATGATGGATGATGATGAGTAGCAATAATGATGATGATGGGTGATGATGATGAGTGGCAATGATGATGATACTGAATGACATTGAAAGTGAGATTAATAACAGTAACAACAATAATAAAACAGTTGATACTGCTGGTATTGCATCTACAACCAATACTACCATTGTAGTTCTACTACTGTTACTAAAATACTTCTGCTGCTGCTATTACTACTACTACTACTACTACTACTATTATACTGCTACTGCTGCTCTTCTGCTATTACTACTACTACTACTACAACTACTACTACTACTACTGGTACTGCTATACTTCTATTGCTAATACAGGACTACCACTACCACTATCACTATTATTGCTACTATCACTACCACTAATAATGCTACCACAATTACTACCACCACCACGTCTACTACAACCACCCCTACCACCACCATTACTACTTCCACCTTTGCAACTACTACTCCACCACCACCCCACACCCATCCCTGCCCCTACCACCACTACCTCTACTGTTCTACTACAAATACTACTAAGCTACTAGTCTTTATCACTGAAATAAGAACTCCTTCCTGTAACTAATGAAGTGTTCTATATTGGCACGATGCAAATGAAAGACAAACTAAATAAATGCATGATTATAAAACAACCCTAAATAATCAATAAAGAGGAAGACCCTCATGTTACATGAAAGTTTCGCATCACTATATCCGGGTCGTAGTATCGAGGTCATATTAACACTGACTATGCGGGATGTCGTGCTGTTAACCTAGAAAGACAAGGGTGGATAATGAAAATTTATATAAAGAATGATTGATAAGTCCCCTCAAATATGGGCGGTTAACATACTGTTGCATGAACAAACCAAATTTTTAAATTTAAACTCCGTAGATTTAAAATTAAAATATCCTCTTAACCTTCCCCATCCCTTCCTCCCTCTCAAAAAATACTGACATTTGTAACCAGTCATACGTAATAAATGCATAATTTCTTAGATGTGATATATACACTCCTTTACTATTTCATATCCGTGACATTCGGAATTATACATTTCTCCTCACATACATATTGCAAGAAACGAAAACGATTTCGACCCACCTGCCCTTGTCCGCATAAACACCGGTGAAACAGTTTCCCATTCTTCTTTTCGTTCGCCTTTCGCTTGGATTTTAAACGCCTTATTGCGCGCGTAGGTCGTAGGTCTAGTATCGAGCGGCCGCCCAGTCCGACTGATGCAAGGTCTAGTGGTGAAGGGCGTGGCAGACATCACGATATGTTCTTTGGTCGATTCCTCGTTTCTTGATTCCCCCGCCTTTTCTTCGTTCTTAGTGATTTGTTTTAGTGCACTTTATATTTATTGAGGAATTACAATATTCAGTGTATATTTTAAATATTATATATATATATATATATATATATATATATATATATATATATATATATATATATATAGAGAGAGAGAGAGAGAGAGAGAGAGAGAGAGAGAGAGAGAGAGAGAGAGAGAGACAGAGAGACAGACAGAGAGAGAGAGAAAGAGAAAGAGAGTGCGATGAAAAACAGGCAAAATGAACTTGCACATAGAGACACAGAAATAAAACGACCTACAGAATGATATGCGATATATATGAAGAGTCGAGCAAAAAATATAAGACGAATAAAAAAAGAGTTCGTACAAAATTCAGAAAAGATATGAAAAACTACATGACAAACTCATTTGGAAACCTACAGCACGCAAGAAATTTCTCACATTGAAAGGCTTTCGGACAACGCAAAGTCATAGCATCTCTCGCATAGAAGAGAAACCAATAAATAAGCCAAAACCAACGATCAGCTGAGCAACGAGACACCCTCTTTCTCACTCAGGGAAGAAGTGTCAGATCAGCAGGCAGCGGTCACAGCCACATCTCAGCTGAGGCGAGGCTTGCTGACTCGCATGAACACAGCTGATGGTGTCGATCGCTATGGCAACACCAAGGTCTACTTTTTTGTTTTCGTTTTAAAATCGTTGATTTTCGTATGATATCTCATCTTCCTCTTATCGGTAGTAGAGGTGTTATATCGTCTCATTATTGTCATAATAGATACTTATATTTATCATCGTATTGCCAGCAATATCGTCATTTTCATTACTATGAGTATTATAATTAGAAACTACTGTTCTTATGGGAACCATTTGAGCGTTTTGTCAAAATGCAAATCTAAAATTGTATTATTAATCATACGAGAGCGAGCGAGAGCGAGAGAGAGAGAGAGAGAGAGAGAGAGAGAGAGAGAGAGAGAGAGAGAGAGAGAGAGAGAGAGAGAGAGAGAGAGAGAGAGAGAGAGAGAGAGAGAGAGAGAGAGAGAGAGGAGAGAGAGAGGAGAGAGAGAGAGAGAGAGAGAGGAGGGAGGAGGTAGGGAGGTATAGGTTAGGAGGTAGGGAGGGAGGTAGGGAGGAGGTAGGGAGGGAGGAGGTAGGGAGGGAGGGAGGTAGGAGAGAGGGAGGGAGGGAGAGGGAGGGAGGGAGAGTGAGGGAGGGAGAGAGAGAGGTAGTGAGAGTAGGTAGTGAGAGGTAGTAGAGAGTAGTGAGAGAGAGAGAGAGAGTGGGAGAGGTGTGAGAGTGAGGTAGAGAGAAGAGAGAAAGAAAGAGAAAGAACGAAGGGAAGGTTACTTTCTTTTAATTCCTAATATCCTCAAATTTGTATTTATACTTCTTTGCAGGATCAATAACGAAACGTTCGAATTTTCTTATTCTTTTATTCACTCATTTATTACAAGATTCCTCACATTAAAATCTAGATTATACAGCGGTAATATCTATTAAAATTCAAATTACGACCAAATATTCACTTACACACCAACATACTTCAAAATTTTCTACCTTTCCCTTCGATGTTTTCTTCATCCAGGTCAATAAGATAATTAGCAACCTTCAAAGGTCATCTCATCTTGGCGAGGTCGATTCGCGGGCCACGTGATTTACGCCTCACGTAAAGGTCGTCGCTCAGAGCCGGGGAATCGCGTCTGGGCGTCCTCCTCTTCGCGTGGACGGACTTCGAGCGTTCGAGACTCCCGTAGGACGCGCGTCTGTCCTCTCTGGTCGAGGAATGCGACCTGGAATTCGCGCGTCGCCTCTCCGGGGACTCGTTTTCTTCGCGGAGGAAATCTTTGGCGTCGCGCGGTCGGCTCCTTCGAGAATGTTCGTTGGCTGACTCTTCATCCGATTCTTGGATGTGGCTGGGGCGAGGGTCCGAGGGTTTACGTCTCCCACGGAACGAATCTCGAATTTTACTCAAGGACTTGGCCTTACGACTCTCCGTCAAGTTCTCGCAGGAGATTATGACCCGGGGAATCTGGTGGACGAAATGGCGCTCTGCACTGCCGTACGCATCGTGGTGCTTGTCGTGTTTCGGATGCCGCCTCTTGTGAGTGTGCACCACGTTGTCCTTGTACCTGCGGGCAGACGCCTTAAAGGAGGTCCTCAGGAAGCCGGCCGATG